AGCAGGAACTGTTACACTTTGCCCTGTAAAAGCTCAGATATACCTCTAAGCATTAAAAATCACAAATACGTAACTGAAAACTGTAACTAGGAATAGATTTTTCTTGTTTATTCTTCAAGACTATTGACTAATTGTCAAGATTAATAGACTCTTAACTTTTTTGTCAGTCTAATACTTCTCCTCAAATATATGACCCAAGATAATCATACAGAATTTCATATAATGTAGATAGCATGTATTACCTTTTGCTTCAAGTTCCATTTTCTTTTTCTTTGCCCATATGTTATGGTAGTTTTCAGCCATCATCTCAGCCATAGCCTTAGAAAAAAGAGAGCTTAATGATGTGTGTTGCAATGGTTAACCCTAAGGAAGGGCAATTTTCTATTTTACATTAGATAATAAGTTTAAAAAAACTAGAAGCAGCATAATCGATTTTCAATACAATTGCACTTTAATGTTTCACTGAAAACATCCGTTTTATTTAAAAATTCTGATGCAGAATTTGGGTAGGTAGGGTATAATGTAGGTGGGAACTGGGGACCAGCTGCTGAAGAGAAAACTGCTAGTATAAAAAAGGAGGAGCCGCAGAGAGGAGTACAATCTGGGAATAGTACTAGAATGTCAAAGGGGGACTTGATTCTCAAAGCAAGGCTGATGAGAAACTCCAGAACACCCCGGTGAGGAAAACAAAGGATAACAAACCAGTGGACCAAATCAGGATTACTCTTCCTGGCAATACCTATGAATGTGGATATAGCCTGGTCCAAGGGAATACTCCATTGTATGAGCACATTGTTAGGAACACCAACCATTTCACCAGGAACTCCACAGATACAGCCAGCACAGTTATTTATCCAGCATGAAAATCTCCTCCAACATACACAAGGAGTAAGTAAATTCTTCTTGTAAAACAAACTTTTTCAGTTCAGATGATAAGCTAAAAACTATACCCCAAACTGTAAGCAAAACACAGGAAAGCTCTCCAGTCCCTAACAAGTAGCAACTACTCCTCCCACGTGTGACAACTTTTCAAACCTTCCCTTTCCATCCTCCCTACTATATACACAGGGTATGTGTGCAACCGGGGAATTTCTGTAGATTTCACTTCCCACTTCTTTCGTAGACCTATAGTAACACTCTTCTCTTCTTCAGCAATGGTTTTGAGTAACCAGTATTTTTTGAGTATCAACTTCTTCATTTGGGAGAATACTCACAAATTCAGATAACAATTTGAAAATTTTTGGCCCTATCTTGCTTGTCGATAGGACAAGCTTTTCCACACATTTTCCCCTGGTGAATACTTTCTTACATGTATCTACCCCACATGGCAGATTTCTATCATGAATGATGGTCCCGGTGTTTTGATAACCCAGCTTAGAACCTTGCCTACAGAGCAGAATGTCTCCTCTCAGATCCATGCTTCTGGATTTTATTTTCTTGGAAAGCAGGGTATAATGAAAATGGTGTTAGGGCAAGACCTAGTTATTCACAGAGCCAGGATGTGACCAAGTGACCACTTGGACCAAGATGAGAAGTACTGCTCAGTCCTACGGTTTTAAAAATGGTTATGGTCTCTTTTCATATAGTATCTTCATGGCTTGATATAAAACATAAAATAGCATCAATTCTTAAGTATTATTCAAAAAAAATTTTTAATAATTAATTTTCCAAGCAATTTAAAGCAAAGTTGAAGAATCTAGCCCTGAGTGACGGCTAGAGAGATATTAAAACAGTAAAAACAAAAACAATAATTCAAAAATGAAATTCAGTTAATTTTTAAAACTTAGATCTCATGAATATTTAACATGTGTGGATATTTCCAGAAGGGCACTATCAGGGCATTTAATAACAGAAATGACAACTTAATTAAAGTTGCTTAGATTTTAAATGACAGATTTTGAAGTTGTTCTCAAGAGAGAGCTCTCGTTGTAACTAAGGGAAAATGAATCAATGAATCATAAAGCCAACCATCACTGTTTTATAACAGAGGGCCACAAAGGAAAAAATTAACGTCAAATGTCAGGTGATATAGCATAAAAGAGTAAACAAGGGAGTGATTCAAATTCTAATGCCTTTTCTTTCTGTTTAGTGACAGGCTGGTCACTTCTCTTTGGGTTTGGTTTCCCACTTTATAATACTATGATGATGTTCACATTAGAGCCATGTCATGAGCATTATGCAAAATTTCTATGGTCTTTTGACTATAATGAGTATATGCAAATCTCAAATTCTGCAATTATAAGGACACTGTTCCAACAATTTGATAACAACCTAGTAACAGAAGTAGTGTTGTTCAATTATCAATTTTATTAATTCTTTGGAATGATCAGTGGTCTAATGAACAGTATAAATCATGACAATTAACTGGGAGAAAATTTTTGTTGTTATAAACCTAGTCAGCAATCTACAATGGTTAGAAATATGAAGCTGGAAACCACAAGGAAACAAGGAGGGGAAATCCAGTCTGAGAACTCGATCAGAAGTACAATACGGTATATACTGCGAAGTTAGCCAGTTACTTTACTACTGCTGCTTGTTTCACTGCACTACAGTAGAGCTCAATATGGGCTAGCTTAACCCTGCCTTTTGTAACCAGCACTGAACTCCATGTTGCCATCACTACACTGGTACAAATACTCATGCTAACTTGCTTAAAACAATCTCGTGTATGTCTACGTAATATTGCAACTACACTCACGGTAATTAGACTGTAAAAACTAGCAATGCATTTCATCAAACTTCATGATGAAACCTAAGTCTTTCTAAGACTAACATCATTCATTTATCAATTAAAAAAATACCTGTTACATGTAACAGAAATCTACAGTCTACAGTTTTGATTTACAGTCAAAATCCTATCCTCAACCACTTCATTTTCTATTTTCATAAGATTTGTCATAGCCTTGTCTCATGACAATTTATTCAACGTAGAAAAAAGAGCATTGACAAAACTTCTGGGGGAGATGGTGGAGAAATGAATGATAAACATAGAAAAAAGCTGACGATGTAAGCTTTTCTAAACAGAATTCTCTTCAAGATGACAGATGTTCACAAAGAGGACTGAGAAATCAATCCAGGACTAAAACAAACTTTGAAGTCTTATAACCTTCTCTGTGTATTTTAAAGTAACAAAAGATCAAAGAGCAATGATGAAACAGACAAAAAAGAACAAAGCATATCAAAGGAAATAATATAAATAAGGCACAAGTGTTTTAAATAAACTAGAAAGAAAGAAAAATTTAAATTGCCAAAAAGGGCAGGCACATTAAGTGTTTCTGACTTACATGAACGTCTCTGGAGAGGGTGACATTGCTCATATCAATTGCTCGAGGGCTGTAACCATGGGCTGTATCTACAGAGATCTGAACGACAAACATGCAAAACAATGGAGTTATACATGCCTTTGATGTAAAGAAGTTTTTATTAACAAGTTATTAAAGTTAACGAAAGAACTAAAGGATAAAGAGTCACTTGTGTATCTCTAGAGAGCAAAAAGATCCTAAGTAACTGAAAATTTGTGTTCAATCAAAAAAATACTAAAGGTGGTAAATGGAAGTTAGATTTAGGCAAATGTCTAAATCTTTTGTTAGGTAATTACAACAAACATTGCCGTTCACTCACAAAGATAGATATTGATTAGACATGAATCTCACTCATTCAAATGTAAATTTCACTTGAACAAATGCTAAAGATTTGAATTCATTATGAATAATACTGCACTGAAGTTATGATCAAACTTCTGTGTTTTCTAGAGATTTTTTTTTTGAAGTAGAGGCAGGCCAAATCTCATATCATCTACTTTAAGGTGAGTTCAGCCAAAAATAAAGGTTTGAGTTTTGCCCTTCAACTCTGTTGCTACATACAGAAATGCAATCTAGTAAATCCGTGTCTTTTTCCTTCTCCCAACCCAAGACTTTTATTTTGAAGGTTTTATTTTGAAATTCTCTCACTCTACTGCCTAAATTTATCATGTGATTTCTCATTACATTGACAGAAAAGCATGATAAGCAATGACGGAGATTCCCTGGACAACCACTAACACTGATGCAAGAAGTGCGGCTAGAAAGGGGCATTGCTGGGCTTTCCTCTTTGTCATGTCTAGCTGCTATGTCAATATACCACCTTGCAACCACTACCGATCAACCTTAAGGGTCTGAAAATGCATGGCAGAACCTAGAGTGTGGTCCATAGGACCTGTACTGGGCAGGGATGCCAGGAACATATTCAGATTGCATTTTAAAGTCAAACTGCATCAAGGGAATAAAATGATCTGTAAGTAATCTAACTTGAATCTTCAAATTACTGTGGAAGCCATATTATCATTTCTAGCACATCTAGCAACAAATAGATCTCTGCATCCACTAGCATTTCATAATGAAGATGAAATCTTTGGACAGTATCATAAAGAAGAAATGCATTCTCTTCGATTACATAGGCATCTCCTCAAAACCAGAAATAATTAATTAACAGTGTTTCTAGAAGACTAGGACACTATCCCACAAAACAGCTTGAATCCTTAAGTGGTATTTTTTTCATTTTAAAGATACGATTTCAGCATTGATAGAACCTCTGAACCTGGAACATCTAGAACGTCTGAACATACTCTCTAGAACCTGTTCACATAGCACATCATTACAGAACAAAAGGGAAGTCATTGGGATCTCAGTAAATAATACTGTAACTGCACTTGCTACCTGCACAGCGTGGTAAGAAAAAGATCTTTAAGGAAATGGTTGAAAACTACAGAAACAATCCAATCGTAAGATATTTTTATTTGGAAATGCTGTGAAGGTAACTGAAACCCCAACTCCACATAAACTAGAACCTTTGGCTGGACTATTTCTTTTATGATGGACCCAGATAGCTGTGAAACACCTAGCTGTGAAACTGCATTACAAAACTCTTGCAGAGAGGCCTGTTGCACCAACAACAGCTTTCAGCATAAAGCATAACAACTATAGGCACTTTCATGTAAAAACAAAACAAAACAAACAAAAAACCCAGAAAAGATACTATCACCACTTGCTGCAATACACTAATAAAATGCGTGAATTCTGCTTAGTTCTTTCAAAGACAGGTATACGAGGAAGCACCAGCTGGAACAAACAGTAGGATAAGACTTGTAAGGAAGACAGGTGTTGATAGTCTCTAGATTAGTAGGTCATGAAGATCCTAGTGCACATATATCTTCAGCCTTTGCAACACTCAGCTCAAGAAACAAAGGACATCGATTAGGTCTTGCTGACCCACAGAGTTAGGACAGGATGGAGAGATTGATCACTTTAAGCTTCTAAAGGGTACAAAAAGACATACCACATGGCTGCCAAACTAAGAGGCCAAGGAGCTAAGAGGACGCAAGGAGAACTTTTTATTCACATATTATTATTATTGTTATTATTTTGTTTTGTTTTTATTAACACCAGGAACACCTGGTGTTCCCTTATGCTTCAAATCTTCATTAGGTACACTGGAGACACCATCAGGATAAAAGCATCGCAGTGCATACATGCTGGACAGACTACTTGGAAACACATGTCACGGTGATAGCGAGTATGTGGGTATGAGAATGTAAGCAAGCAAAATCAATTTCGCTCCAGTTTTCTTTTGAAATAAAATCACCCTCCCCACTTGTAACATCTCCCTTTGAGATCTGCAATACTGTTGCTACGATGTTAATTCCTTCAAACAGACAGCAAAACTCTCAGGGGACGAAGATAACAAGGTTTGCCCCTCAGGTTTTCAGGGTACTGATTTACACTATTGCAAATCTACATATGCTTAAATATGATCGTACACTTTAAGGAGGATATAGCAGAATCTGATATCTGATATACCAGGATTCTGCTGTAACAGATAAATTCATGTCCACCATAGGAACGCTTTCCTTTAGAACTTACCAAACATTCATCAGTAGTCAGAATTTATTTCCAGTGTCTGATACTACTTTTGTGTGCATATATCTGACCTCATACAAGGATTACAGATTCATAGGACCCATTTCAAAAGGCAGGTATTTATAACAGAGAAGAGAATAACAAATAGGATGTACGAGTAGCACTCAGTAAATAAATTTTGATTTAAAAAATTATCGCTTTGTTTCCTAAAGCCAACAGTTCCAGTTGTTACTTTTTACACTAACATGAAGATATTGATTAAACATACTTAAAATTTCTCAGATGGACATGCTGGGAAAATGCTGATTTTTTTAGTGATGACAGCAGAACGTATTTTAAACATAAAATGAAAAATAAAGTGACAGAGAACTGTGACATTTTGTGCTGGCTGTAGCCTTCAGAAACCCTTACAGATAAGTTATGAAATTTTAAAATAGTAAAGGCAGATTGTAACTTATCTACAAAAGTTCTTTTCATATGTCAATATAATTTGAGTCTCAGCTATAAAGCTATTGATTCTAAGAAGCTCCTTGTGCTTAAATTGTATATAAATATCTTTGTCACTGTAGTATTTGGGAGCAGTATTATGAACACCTAGAAGTCAAGAAATTTGGAAGTTAGAAATTTTGGAAGGGAATTACAGTTTGCATACTATAATTTGCACCTCATCCCAACTGCTAAATGGAAGCACATGATACACACCTGCTAGTATCAACAGTGAGTTGGAGGGGAAGGTCCAGCTGCTCCTTTCTCACATGCATATTGCCACACTTGCACATGGAAATTGTGCACAGATGAGTTGAGAGGAGAGGGAAAGATTTTTCCCCTCAATTTTATTTCCCTCACTGGTTTGGCTCCATGTTTGTCTATGTGATTGAGACACAAAGATAGTCTCACCTCTCAATTTGCAAAGTATGTAAAGACTTCAGAAAATATACTGCCAGTTTTTCTATGTTTTATCCTAACAGCATTTTGATTTAATGAGGCTATCTTTAAGGAAAAGCCTATCATGAACATTTTCAGAACTTTGATTGTCTACAGTTGTAAACGTAATGCTGCATTGACATTTGTATTCATTTTCATTTAAAAAGAGAAATGAAAATCATTTATATATGTACTTCTTTCTCTACACACTTAAAGGCATCCATAACCACCCAATTCCACAGAAAAAGGAGATCAAAATCATATTAATACTCACTACTGATGTCTAACCACCTGTTAATGTACATAATTCTCAAAAATTATGCAATTAACTTTTAAAAAGTGAAAAATTACATTAATATTTCATATTTCTATACTTTTTTGAAAATGTTTGTTAAAGCACTATTTTTGATTAGGGAAAGCTAAGCAAGCAGAAATTTCCAGCTTCTATGAATAGAAATCCAAATCTCAAACCGGTTTTATGTTATATGATTACTTGCAAAAAATACTTCCATGCACTTTCATGCTGCAGGGATAGTTCATCATTTGAAACGTAAAAATGGAAACATATTTTGCGAGCAGTTTTTGGAATATAAAATGACTTACTTGACTGGTTTGCGATATGCGACGCGTTCGATTATAAAGAGCCATGGAGTCTCCCTCCCTTGTTCTTTCAATCCGCCATCCCCATGCCAGCATGGTTTTTAGTGATTCTTTTATTGGCCATCGATAAATTTCTTTCTCCTAGGAGAGTACAAAGGCAATAATTACTGTGTTCTTTCTGTAGCTGTATAGACTGAAACATAACTGTTGGACTTTTGCCTGGTTATACTGAGTCGCAAAGTAACCTACTGAAATCAGCCCTGGCGGCATAAGGTCACAGCAAAGAAGGAAATAAAAAAGCTGATGACCACAAGGATAACAATGTTGATGACATGTTCAGATATGAAGTCAAAGGTGAAACAGCTGATTATCATGAGTAATAAAGGTGCTTTGTCTACTACATGAAGCAAAACTCAAAAATCATAGACTCATAGAAAAGTCTAGGTTGCAATGGACCTTTGAAGATCATCTGGCTCAATCTTTTGTTCAAAACAGAGCCTTAAATTAGGTTGTCCAGGGCTCTGTCAAGCCAAGTCTTGCATATTTCCACTGAGGAAGATGTCACCACTTCTCTGTGTAACATACTGGAATGTTTAATTGTTCTCACAGTGAATAATTTTTTCTTATGTCCAGAATCTCATGAAGCAGCTTACATCTGTTGCCTTTGCCCTGTCACTGTGCATCCCTGTGAGGAGAGTAGCTCCATCTTCTCTACAACTACTTTTAGATACTGGGAGACAGTGATTAGATCCCCCCAGAGCCGCCTTCTCTTTAGGCTGAACAAAATCTGTTCCTTCAACCCTTCTTCCCAACCTTCTAATCATCTTCATGGCTCTCTGCTGGTAAACTAAGTCCTCACTAACCAAGTAGGCATGCCTGTAGGATCTCGCTGTAAAAACACAGTGGTGATGTGACACTTCAGCTTCACTGTAAGTTAAGTTCAGCCATGACAGAAAGTAGGTTGAGTGGCCTAGCTATTGTACAATAAAAACCCTATTGTCTCTTCTTCAGATTTTAAAGGAAGAGAACAATCACACATTAGCTGATGCATTCTAAATTAAAAAGAAAGTGATGCAAACATAAGCTGATACATTCAGAGTGAAAGAAGTAATATTTTAATCACACTGGATCAAGAAGAATAAACAAATTCCTCACCTTTTCGGTCAGTAATTTATATTGTTTCATTAATGGTTGCACTTTCGCGGATTCAGAATATGTTTCACCATATACCCACCCATTGGCAAACTGAAAACAGTAATTAAAAAAAAAAAAAGGAAAAATGGAAGAGAGGGAAAAATTATGAAAATCTTATTTTTATTTGTCCAAAGGTACCGAACAACGTTTCTGCAGGACTACTTCCTTTCATCAATTTCCTTTCTATTATTTTCTCAACATTTTTATCATCCCTGCTTCATCTACTTATAGTAAAACAAATTATGTAAAATGGTATCTTTTTGAAAGTCAATGATTACTTGATGCAAACATTTCAATTCATTTTCTCTTTCTTGATTTCCTTAGAGCATGATCCTTTACATATATATATAGAACATGACATGGTTTTACATTTAAGGAATAGCTTCTAATATCAGACATGGAAGCTACACTGAGACATGGAATTCCTAAGAATTTTTTTGGTTAAAAAGTGAAATTTTAAATCAATAAAACTACAATTAGCAAGTGTATTTACTCAAAAGTTAACAAGAAAGAACCGATGAAATACCAGTATGAAATACGCAAATGCGCTTGCAGAACTACTCAAAAATGTAATTCAAGAAAACAAATATTCATATCTTACATATGTACCAACTTGTAACCTTATGAAAAATAATAACACTCAGAGTAAAATCTTCTTAAGATTAAATACATACACACATAAAAGTTCATATTCTGCTTTAACAGGAATATAGATTTTACCTTTTCCATTGACCATTTATCATGAGAGTGTTCTGCATATTTGTTAATGAAATATTCTAGCTTTTCAGGGATTGTAATGCTGAAAGTGAAGGGAAAAAGCCATTACATTCCACATGCTAAAATGTGAATGGTGTTGTTTCAAACAAAACGTTCAAATAATTAGCAGTGCATATTTCCATGTAAAATACCTTACTGTGCTGGTTTCCTCATATAGTTTGCTTCAAGCCCCACTCTCCCTTAAATCAAGGGGAAGAATCTGACTTATTCAATGGGTGCTGAACGAGGACCACAGCTGTAACAGGATTTTTACCTCTTTAACACACACATGCAGGGAAAAAACAATAACGACACCCAGTACTTACGCTTTTTGCCAGGTTTCTACTACTAATACTCATTTTCCTGAGATTAAAAATATAACTATGACCTTCAGTTTCAGAAATAGTGCTAACTTACTACCTGTCAGTTATAAACTAGCTACGCTAATGATCCTTTTTAAAGTATGCTATATGTTTTATATATTCCTACAAATTTCATTATATAATTGAAGCACTGTAAGTTGTGACAACTCAAAACTTAAATTCTCAAGGCTTTATTTTCCAATATCCCAATGAATAACTAAAAAAATTATTAAAATACTTATGAAAAAAATAGGAGTATACAAATAAATACACTAGCCCCTCAACAAAATAGTGCTGAAGTTGAAGTTTCTTGAGCAATAAAAGAAAAACAGCTATCTTAACTATCAAACAAGCACCAGAGATAGAATCCTTTTCCAAAAACCATTTGGAAATAAATATCAGTATTCTTCTGCATCTGCATTCTTACAATTGAAAGGGAAAAACTACTTCTTGATCACTTCTGAAATAGCAAGATTTTCCCTCCTATGACACAGAATTTAGGCAGGAACAGTGTTGTAACGCCATCTATTGGAAACTAGCAGAGTCTGTTTTATAATTTTCAATCATAAGATGGCAAAAAAGTAGAAATGCACAAAGAAATGATCCCATATACAATCAACGTAACAGTTTGCAAGAGCCTAACCACTCACAAAATAGAAAGAGATCATAAAATATTCATCAAATACCGTTAGCAGTTCTTTTTATTGTTTGAAGAGTAACTTGGTTATTGGGGAGGGCAACTCTAACTATAGTATAAGACTTTGCAAAAATTCACAAATACAGTTAATGGGAAGCTACAATAAGGTCATATCCTATAGCTTCATATCATATGAATAGCTTCACCCAAATATGGCTAGGACTGGTAAGCACTGGGATGCAGGACTGGCATGCAAAACAATACAGGATAGGGTAGAAGCAATACTGATAGAAGTAGTACTTTCTTTGTCCTGATTCATCACAGAACTATTGACCCCCATATGGAAAGGAGAAATACGGTAATTGACGACGGGTACTTTTAGCTAGCGTTTTTTGGAAGTACTGAATGTATTCTCACCATCTGCTATAATCCTCTTAAATGAAAATAGATAAAGTCTTCTTCATTTAATCTCTTAAATGATAGCAAAATACCCTTGTTGAATTTTGCTAAGCCTTCATGCATCTTTAATATATCTTAGGTGAATGAATTTTAGTGGTGACTGATGTGATTCCTACATTCCAGGCTATATTATCGCTTCTGTTATCATCTTACGATGTTCATGTATGTACCGGCATAATGAATCAAGGGTATCAATCTACTGAAGGAATTCTATCTCCTGACTGTTAATATAGACAGAACGTCCACAAGAACAAGTGGAAAAGATATTCTCCAAATGGCATTTCTCAAGATATAGCATGTAATCTCCCTGCTGTAAAACTACTCTATATAGAGTAGAATGTGGCTCCGGCTGTAACGAAAAATCAGTAAACGAAGATACTCTTCAGATATATGTTTTGTCTGGCTAATGTGTAGCCAGAGTCTGACTGTGCTGACTGTGCAGACAGAATGAAGATCTTTCCGCCCATTTCCCCATCATTCAAAGTAAAAAGACATCATATAAATATATGATCCACATCATTGTCTGTAGGTATACTATTATCCACAGGCACTGGAATTACCAGCTTGCCTGTTGTTAATAACGACAGGAATGATGTAGATTTATTTGCTGTTACAATTCCTAAAAGAGCGAGAGGTTGATTACAGTGCACATACAAAAGTAAATGGATAGTTCTGTCTTCAAGTTGAAAATGCACCATGTGATAGAATGACCAAGGAATTATTTTTCAAAGTGGATATTTCTTGCTTTAAAGCACAAGATCTGCATTTTATCTAAAAGATGAGTGTTCAGAATACACATAAATAAAAGCTGTAACTTCACATCATATCCAATAGCAGACTCCATGCCTCTTTTCACCCACCCAAGGTACAAATCAGTCGCAAAAGTAATTCCTTACTTTAAGGTATCAACAGGTTGAGGGTTGAAGTTCCCATCTGAATCCATTGAAGACTGTTTTTCCATCATACTGACATAATTTGATTCCATGTAGTCTGGAGGTAAGGCCCCTGCAACTGCACTCAGACAAGGCAATGCCAATTTGAACAGTTCTTGTTCATATTTCTGTGGAACATACAAGGGATATAGAGTAGTGAATGGAAGCTATCGATTTCATTGCTGAAATCAACACAGCTGTATGTGAAACCAAACAGCCATAGAATGGCTTTCTTATTGAACATGAAATTAATTCCCGTACTGAAAATAAAAGAAATTGATGGCACAAAATATACTATATACTAAAGATAAAGCTAGGATCAAGTCTTGTTCTTGCTGAAGTAAATGGAAAAAAATTAACTTTAATGTGGGCAAGACTGGAAACTTTGCAGGTATGTGGGAAGCCAATGTAGCACAAGAATATTCACAGCCTTTCTAAATACCTCAGTTTGCAACAAAACTCTCATGAAGTTTTAACCAAAAAAACCCTACAAAATTAACAATACATACATACCGAGGGGTACTTTCAAACTTTTGTCCAACATAAAATTGAGTCACAGGTGATCTACTACTAAGCAAAGGACTGTGCTCTTGATTTAAGGATGTGTAGCATGTGAGGTAGAAAAATGCAGTTTTCAGTGACGCTTGAATTTGCTTTTAGGGCCCAGAGATTTAGTTGACCTGTACAGATATGTTCCAAGACTATTTCAACAGCTACATATAATTTTGTAATGAGCACACAAAAACGTACACCTACCTTAAGGCAGGAGCTATAACATGAAGAATTAAACAGGAAGACTTAAATTTACTAAAGCCTTTGTTTTTCCCTTCAAGGTGGACAATGCAGGCTCTTCTAGTAATAGCTGGATATTAAAATGAATTACCTTTTGAGACAAGGCATCAAAAATACCCCAGAACAATTTTCTGGATAAGTGAAGTTCTTCTTCTGATGCAGCACCAAAGTTACCCCATCCACCTGGCAAACAATAATACTTCCAGCATCTTTCATAATGATTTGTCAGCAACTAAAACAGAACATATTTTGAAAGCAAGTAAAATATCATTGTTTATGTTCTTCAGTTATGGTACTAAACCACTACACAGAAACAGCCAGAGCATTTTCTAATTTTCATCAAGAAGTACATGTTCTGATTCCTCATGCTGTGTATTTATCTATTTTTTAAAACCTCTAGTGGATATATTGTCACAAAACAAGCAATTCTTACATTATTGGCATATGTAAAAAGCATGTGACAGAGGAGAATTTTTCTCACACCATAAGAACCCCATCAGTTCCAGGAAAGCCAAGAATTCACTTGAGTCAATGAGTCAGTCTTCCAGACACTGCTACTACACAGAGAAGACAGTAGAACCGTGATTTAACCCAGCTTCCAATTATTATTAACATGTCTGGAAGCTATTCAACAGTAATTCCCAGTGCAGTTCATCTTCTCTTCTGTGATCTATAAAACCTGCCAGTCTACCCTACCTCCCTCTAACATAACTGGCAGAGGAGCTTTATTCTCCCTCTTCAGATTTAAAGAACTATTATCTAAGCTGTCAGATGATTAAGGAAGGAAGGGAGACAAGAAATTATATATGTATATAATGTAAAAAGACAGAAGTTTTATTACTCATGTAGAACCACAAGTATCTTATAACTATGGCCTTCAAGAGTTTAAGAGCTATTTGAAAGCTTTATTTCAAAAGAAAAACGTCCAGACATCAGGTTTGACTTTTGGACAAAATGTGAGCGCTAACATCTAATTTGTCTTTTAATCTAGCCAGGAATAAAGGCAGGTTTACTCTTACAGTTGTCCCTGATGAAGTGTTGAAAATATCCTAAAGGAAGTAAAAACAAGGCACTCCTGTTCCAGAAAATTCACATAAAATTATATAGAAGCTCCACAGATTTAAATTCATATGCCTTAACTAGATCAATTTTTAATTGTAGACACCAGCAGAGATATTCACAACAGATAGCACTCTATTCTTACACAGGCATCGCGAATTCCTCCTTTCCTCCTGCCCTTCCCAAGCCTCCAAAATTACATCTTCAGAACCATGACTGAACTTGTAGCGCTCTTTGGAATTAAGACTACTATAATCTGTTTGCTAGCACAAGTACATAAGGAATATGCGCAGTACTTTCAAATCAGAGACTCATTAGCAGATGTATGCAATATTCCATTATTAAATCACTGAAAATCAGCTTATTGTGTATGACATCTTAGGAAAGTTCTGGAATGATCTTAGGTAAAGATGTCACTTTCCTCAGATGCAACTATTACTTGTTCAGGGATCAGTGGACAAAACTGTTTGCCCCGGCTAACACCATGGTTCTCCTCATATCTGTATTCCTCTCCCAAAGCCAGGCTCTCTTACAGAAGGGATCTAGTTATTGTTTCCTTCCTGCTTGGTTCAGCAATACAAAGAAGTCTTTATAGTCAAGAGCTGCAGGGTCAACAACCCTGCTGTCCTAGATGAACAGATCTCGGGGAGTTCTCTCTCAAAAAACACCTAAAGAGCCATAGCAAAGCAGAGAAAGAAAAGTGCCTTACAACATGGCTACTTCGCTGTTGCAGCACATAAGATGTCAGAACACATGAGAAGACACCCGTCAGGTGCAGTACGCTAAATTATCAACCGTTATTCTCACACATAAGTATTAAAGAATGGCTGCTCCAGCACCTTGAGTTTGACTGAACACTTCTTGGGAGACACAACTGCATTCTGAAGCCCTTAGGAGAGGTAAGACCATGCAGCAGGTCCTAGTTGAGACTAGTGATTCCAGTTCCTCATCTAAAGTCAGAGACCATGATCTGGCCAGTAGAAATCTGTATAATTCTGATTAGTATTTTGGCAAAGAAAACAGACATAAAATGTAATTACTTCTGATCTGTGGCTTTTAAAGAAGAGAGAATAAATAAATAAGAAAAGAAGATATGCCCTGTTCAGAGTTGTGGTGGGAAAGCATTAGAAAGGGCTGCTGAAAAGTAGCAGTACGTAGGTGAAAAATGATGCACTTCCGAAAACTGATGCTGAAATCTGAGGAATCTTTATGGAGCACATTATCTCAGTAAGGAAACAACACATATTTCTTGTGGATTAGGAATCAGAATCATAAGATATGGAGAAACCTTTGGGGGCAGAAAATAAAATCGAAGATTAGTAACAATTAGATTTGCAAACCCAAACCACAGAAAAAGACTCCATTTTCTGAGGGCAGGGAAAATCAACACAAAGGGTAGAAGTTAGGAAACACGGAGATTATCAATTGTTGTCTTTCATTGAATTCATCTTTTGTCTATTTCCAAGGGTTGCCCTACTCTGCTTCCACCTAGTGTTTTTTTTTTTTTAATAAAGGATAGAATTACAGGAGAAGTAAGCATGAGACATGGACCTAATATTTCTACATGAATGGATGCAAATTAGATTGATTTCCTGCCAGAGTGGTAACTTACCTCTAAGAACAATGGTCTGTTTTGTAGATTGGAGTTAAGCTAACAGAGAACATAGAGAACATTCCCGACGTAAGTATTTTTATTGCCTCTTGTTACAAAGAATGTTACTGATGATTAAAATATACATTTACCTTGAGAGGCATCTTTGCATGTTCATTTAATAGAGGAACATCAAATACTAATCTTCTCAGTAAATGCTGCATCATGGAAGGTCTCAACTGCCTGAAAGCAGACAGATAATTTCAGAAGGTTGTACAGCATGTTTTCATGTAAATAATTAATAAATCCATTAAAGTAACCTGACATTTTTACTTCATTAAAATGTTTCAAATTCATAAAGCAATAGGAATTTGCTTGTGGCACTACAAAAAGCAAGCCCAAAAGAGAGCAAATAAGTGCATATCAAAGAAAACCTTCTGAACATGCAAATCACATACTTTAAAGAAGCACAGAGAAAAATATTTGATCTATAGACAGAGATATAGTAAATCAGGAAAGAAAAAACTGAATTCTGATATTGTATACTATGATTACTATAGCCATGAAAAAACACTATAATTAAATTTCTTGCAATATATCCTGATGATGCTTAAGAATATCTTATAAATTAATAAGGACATAAGAGTGTTAATTCTTTGGATGTACTAAATGATCATACACAGCAGTGGGCATGAACTGAAAGGACAGAAGAAATAGGCATAATATGCATGTTAGAATGGCAAGGACATTAAAGTGTTCCAGACCAACAGCAAACATTGTAACTGGTTCACTGTATTAGTTCTTATCAAGGTCACGTATATAAAATGATCAATATAGCACATTTTATAAAGAACTGCTGCACAGTCCTTTTTCCCTGCAAAATTACCACCTACAATATAAATGTGTCTGGTATCTCCAAACAAATTCCCACCTTATGAAAAAAATCATTTACAGTGAAATGTTCAGAAAAGCTCTGGTGATTTAAAAGCCTAACTCTTCCTAACTTTCATTAGAACTTAAATTCATAAGTGACTAATAGACTTCTGAAAATTGAGCCTATGCAGGCTTATAAAAAATCTGGCTAATCCACTATAATTGAGACTGCATATGGCAAGACAAAATTCATCTGACAGGTGTCAATGATAAGGCATAATACTACCAGTTATTGATAAGGATTTCAAATGTAACATTTAGCACAATTAAAAGTTTATGTGAAACTATGATCTACTGATCACCAACAATGCTGCCAATCTGTGCAGCTTAAATAATTAAACAGCACTTCAGTGTATACACAATTACACATCTCGAGAGCTTTCTCTTTTTGCAGTACCTCCTCTTAGTTAATTACCTAGTTTTAAATTTTAAAAAGTCAGTAACAGCAAAATAACTGAGGGCTGCATATGACTACTTAATAATGCTGCAAATTGAATACAGTCAATGTAAACTATCTAACTCATGTGCCAGCAAAAATTCTTCATTATGCTATGATGGCACAGTTCTGCATTCCTGTGTTACGAATAGCACAAGTCACTCTACCAGTTCGCATTTCTGTGCTGCCAACAGTTTTTCCTTACCCACAGATAGACAGTAAACACTCTTCAATGGAATCTCGCTGAGCTTTGGTAAGAGAGCAGCCCTTTGAGAGTCTGTATACAGTATGTAATAAGGAATCGATGAGGGAAGCATGGTGCTCTGTGCCAGCAAAAAGAGGAGCACATCTGGTCAACAAAGGCAAGACCGCAGTGCAAAGGTATCGATTCAGAGCCAAAGCCATATCTGTAGCATTTAAAGCAGCCTATGGAATAAACGGGACACAAATTAGATTTGTTTGGTAAATGTTGTTACAAATGAAAAGAACTTTTTTCTTTGTTTATTTTCCTTCTGTAGTAGTTACAAAGGGGGAAATTTCCAAAACACACAAATGGGAACTTGATGCCTATTGGAAGCTGGGTTCCAGCTTTCTTTTCTGATTTGACAGTTTTCTCCCAAATGACTTTTTTTTTTGGAATGAAAGCATGACGAATACCGTAAAATTGCACACTAAAAATAAACATTCAAAAACAAAAATAATTTTCAAAAATATATTAAAGAATGCCATAGTTGTTTAACAGAGCATTCAAAAATCAAAAAACACCACAGTTAAGTTTGCATTGGCAAAATTCAGTTGTTTTGCCTTGCTATGATCAAACCTCAGTTTCATGCATAAATACTCACCTACTCTATCTGAAATAACATAGTACTTTTCAGAAAAACGTTTAAATAGAAGGTCAAATAAGGAAATCAAAGTCCATGTCTTAGCCCTCATACACACTCTCTAAAACTTGACTTTTCTGTACCAAGCCAGCTAAGAAAAAATTAGATGCAAAGACAACCGACAGAAAAAAGAAAGCAACTTTAAGGAGGAATTAAACAAAAATTGAAGGATTTCCTATATTTTCCCCTCACCAATCTCTGGAGAGGAACACTTTCATGCTAAATTTCTGGGAAGAGGCTATCAGTTACATGCTTTTTGGCAGCTGATTTGATTTTGATTCCACATTGCAAGCTCAGGCGGTCTCCTGGAGAAAGATGCTGCTGCATCTCTTCTGAATATGGTATCAGTGAGGGTTTCTTACAAAGAGAGCATCATTCTGGAGAACACCTCTTCACTGCTTTTCAAATATTTTCAAAGCTCAGCTCCACCAGGCAGCTCATCCAGCATTTGGGAAATGCCAAAGGATGGGGGAAAAAAACCAAAAATCTTCTGGGGAATGAAAAAAGCTGCAGTGTTGAATAAGATAATGGAACTGAAATACCAATAGTCTTAAATCCTTACCGTATCTAAAGAAGCAGCAGCACGAAGATCTGGCAGAAAGCCAACTTCAAGAAGATGTAGAAGAAAATCCTGGTCCTCAATTCCATAGACCCTGTCAAGGAACAAAACCATGGCTGCCTTGTGATCTGGGCAAAACCCCGCAGACATATCAGGTTCCACCACAGTACCATCTAAAAGGAAGAAATAAGACTTCAATGACAAGGCTCATCCTACACCAGCAGAACAGGCAGTTATGCTACTTCTTGTCAGAGTTTTTGAGCCTCTGTTAATGTGTGACCACCTTCCCCACAGCTTCGTTACACAAAGACAGCAAATTTGTAGTTTACTGAATGAACAGGAATGCATAAGGCAATTTCTATCCTGATAGATCCTGAACTCCATACATGCTTTTTTGGTCATACTGTGTGTACCATGGGATTCTCAGTAGCTGATAATCTAATACTATATGAAATACCCAAAACATTAATTTGTCTACAGAACTACCTCATTCTTAGAAGAAGCACACAGAAGGTAAGAAATGGAACAAATCTGTATCAAGTACCACAGGAATGCAGCACTGGTGAGCATGTAAAGCATGATAATGAATTAAAATTGTGGCAAAGAGTCCTCTGTAATTCAAAATTTCTGAAATATCTGAAAGCAATTCACAGAAATATTTTTACATTTGGATACTTTAATTTTGGAAACCAAATAATTCATTCCATATCTATGAGCTGCACTCTATAAACTGCTACTTAGATATCATTTTTCTATAGCTTATCACCTCTACTTGAATATATATAAATAATTATATAATAGATTGATTGATCTGCTTATCTCTTCTGCTGTAACTGAATTGGGCATTCTTGTGCTGTAAGTCGCTACACAACGTTGCATTTATAATACTCTCTCTCAAAACACCCGAAAAAGCAGACATATATCCTTTCCTGCTCACTTAGCTCCCACTATTGCAATGAATACTATGTAGGCAGAAAACAGTTTATTCTTTAGTCTGTATTTGTGTATGTATACTTCACAGAATCACAGAACTAATCCAACCCCCCTGCTCAAGCAAGGTCAACTAGACCACATTGCACAGGACCGTGTCCAAATAGCTTTTGAATATCTCCAGGGAAGGAGACTCCACAGCCCCTCTGGGCAACCTCTTCTAGTCACCCTCAGTCACCCTCTAGTCACCTACTCAGTCACCCTGACAGTGAAGTTTTTCCTCATGTTCGGATGGAACTTCCTGTGGTTCAGTTTGGGCCCACTGCTACTCATCCTATCACTGAACACCACTGAAGAGAGTCTGGCCCCATCCTCTTGACACCCTCCCACCAGATATTTATACACAATGATAAGATTCCCTCGTCCAGTCTTCTCTTCTCCAGGTTAAACAGTCCCAGCTCTCTCAGCCTTTCCTCATATGGTGGTCTAGTCCCTTAATCATCTTAGTGGCCCTTTGCTGGACTTGCTCCAGTAGCTCCATATCTCCCTTATACTGGGGAGCCCAGAACTGGACACAGTACTCCCTCTGTGGCCTCACCAGAGCTTCACCTATAACTTCACCATAGTTGCTGAAGAACAACTCTGGTGTCTTAGTAAGATCTGCTAGAAACAATTAATAGGGTTAGGACAGCAAAAGCTAACGATTACATTATCAAGAAAAGAGATTGGTAGCATTCTTTAATAATTTAGAAAAATAGGAAGTATGCATTCACAGAATTCTTTTTAAAGCTGTAATAGATTTTCATGATGTAATTGAAACCAATGGGATTTATATCAGTGACTCAAATGCACACGGAATTATCGCCTAATAGCATCCAGAACTGCTTTTGAAACACGTACGACTTTTCTTCTAATTCACATTATAAATAGTTTAATTCCTAGAACATTTTAAAATATTGAGAGAAATATGAGCATGAATATATGGACAAATTATAAAAAATAAGAGTGAGGTGGGAGAAAAAAGAAAGCAGATCATCTTACCTTTAGCTATGGTTGGCATGTGGAAAGGAATACTAATTACGCCCACCAAATCTTCCAGTGGAATCAAAGACCGTAGAATTGACCTGATCCTAATGGCTTCCCCTTTACCTGCATGGATTAGCTAATAGAAAGATAAATTTAAAAAGAAAAAAAGGTCTTATTTTTATCTTATATTTGTGTTCATGTTCCAGAAACTTTCCAAACCACAGATGCAAAAGAACGATTGGTCTCAAAACTCACGTCATAATTAATAATATAAATTTCACAAAATCTGTATTTATTTGCTGCGTTCTGGATGCAAAATCTAGAAATTTAGGATCTGGGAATGTTAAGAAAAGCTGGTGAAGAAATCATCAAAACGTAGCATGGCAAGGTGGGGGAGGAGAGGAGGAAGAGCAGCCTTTTCAGATGCAAAATGGTAGTTTTGCCGTCTCAGCTGAAAAATAACAGTTTTGGGGTATCAGCTCTTGCTTCGTTCTTTTCTTTGCTTATTAACAAGGTAGGGAGAGAGAGCAAAAGCAAGACTATTATTATTTAAACAAAATACACTCATATAGTGAGCTTATAATATGGGTATTTCTACTCATCGCTGCACAAATCCGATACTTGTCTACATAAACTGGGGCAGATTTCAGAGTACTTTGGAAAATAGAAAAAAATGGCCACTACTTTTGTAAAAGGTACTACGCATAATTTAGGAGAATTTTTGAAAAAAAAAATAGGAATGTATTTTGAATCTCAATCTGCATAAATATTTTCAAATAGCCCCAACTGTTAGGGCCTATGGAGTAACGGCTATTTTTCTATAGCATGAATGTCTAATACTGTGTGTTTCTAAATCCTAAAACAGTGACATCTCATCTTTGACTAGGATTCTTGGTGTGAATAAAGATCATGATATACTGATGTGTATTTTGGGAGGACAATGCTTATTCCTATGTTTTAAAAGATTGTCCTGTCATATTAACCCCTCTCATATGCAAGTTAAAGAGTCTCTTTAAATACGTATATGAAGATAGCAGAACCATAGCTTAAAAATCGCTTTACACCATCACAGTAAACAGGAAAATTTGAATAGTTCGATGGTCGCAACAGACAGTCAAATAATATTCAGGAAAGAATGTTGCTAAAGGCCAATTTGCCCCAAGCAATAAGAAAAGGAACGGAACACTTCCTTTTGAAAGAACAACTTCTGGACAGCTTACAGAAGTTCCTTGCAAATTGGCAGATAAACGCATGTACACTGCGACACTGTGTAGTCATACCACTGCTTTAATACCTGATAACATGTATTACTGTGAAAACAGCCAAAGAGCAAAACACCAAACCATCAGTAAAACTATTCCTTCACTTTTCAATGCACGAAGACATAAAACTTACATGCATTTCAGGGGCACAACGTCCTAAGAGATCAATCAAAGCTGCATAAAAGGTCATGATGGCATTTCCCATGTGAATAGTGTCATCTTGTTCTTCCATTTCACTGGAATTAGTTAGTAGTTAAAACAAACAAAAGACCAAAAAAAAACATACAAAAAAGTTTTTAGATCAGCAATAAACATACAAAACTTGCTAATAGCTGCAATGGCTTATACATGGTGACTTCCTGATAATCAGTGGACTTAGAGCAGACTAACACAAAATGGAATTTATCCCTGAGAGACTGCAGTGATATCTGCATTGTTACCATTTATTTGTCTCATTTTGTAACACAGGATTGATTCTTAACTGGCTGACAAACAGCAAACAGAATTCTAAAGACAATATAATATTTACAGAAAGTTACTTAAAATTAACAGTGCAGGGGAATCACTATTTAGCAGAAGGCAAGTCTCTACCCTCCACAGAATCGAAGGAGGAATCCGGTTAATAATTCACATGTTAAAACCAGCAAGTCATTTCAACACTAGGATTATAAAACAAACAAACAAAAATTATGGCAATGCAAGCAATTCCACTGCACTTACAGGGTTTTACTAGATCCATTACTTGGGGAAGGGCCATCTCTTGTTGGATCTTCAGAAATTTTTATAGCTTCCTCCATGGCGGCAAGTAACCCATCTCCTCCTTCTCCTCTTAGAGCTGGACCAAAACATTCAGGTCGACGGATAAGCAGCCTGACTACAACATTAGCATTCTCCTCCACACTCTCTCCTGTTATGTAAAACAAATATCATGATTCAAGATTATATCAAAAAGATTTCTGAAATACAATCAGATGAAGGCACAGAAATATGCAGTATGTATGCACTTTTAACTGCAAAACAGTTTAAATACCAATGACAAGGTTACATAAATACACAAATATACCTTTCTATTATTGTAATAAAAGCTATGATATAGAACATATGATTTAATTCAAAATTAAGTACAGCCAAAATAGTAATTATGTAATAAAGGACATTTAAACCTTCATAACAGCTACTGATTTGTAGTAAAAATCACATTCAAGTAAGAGAGCTAGTGAAGGGACTGCTATAAAATTAGGGGGACTAAAATTAGGGACTGCTAAAAATTTAAACTAGATCTGTATAAATCTTAACCAAAACACGAGTCTTTGGCTCTCTGTCTAGCATGAATTTTACTTTAAAAAGATTTAGGAGTCTTTGTTCCAGTTACAAAAGAGCTATCACCATTTCACAGACCAAAGACTGATCTAAAAAATGGGGCATGGGCTCCTAAGAGCCTACATGATCTGTGAAACAGACATCTAAGTTACTGTATGCCTTGCATGATTCTGCTCTTTCTGCTATCTGTCCTTGACATTTATAGTATCCTATGAAGCTGGCTTGTACTTTAAATGATAAATTTCAAACAAATATTTATTCAAACATTACAGGAAACTATAATTATAATTGACAGGTTCCTGCACTACCATTGCAAAAAACAGCGAAACGTAGAAAATCCAAATATCGCTCTCCTTCAACTGGATTCCATCCAATGTCTGGGTAGCCTTTAGAAATCAGCAAAGGACAGCTCTGCAATCCACATCCAGCCAAGTAGCGAACCACCTAAAAGCAAGGTAAAATGAAAAGATATTTATTGTGAAAACAAAGAGCACTGCATACTCTCATTCCTTTTGAAGGGAAGTATATTGTCTCTGATTCGGGTTCCACATTCCAGATCTTATTTTGGGCAAATAAGGAGGAGAACAGCACCTTCCCAACCTTTGCCTACTTCTGCCACCATGAACTGCAAGACCTCCCCTCTCTTGATTCACTTCCCTTTCTAAATCACTCTTGGCTCTCTACATCTCATTTCTCTTCCAGCCCTGAGGGACACAGACAAATTAATCAATTTTGTGTCACTCCGCTTCTACACTCCATCCTTACTTGAAAACATATCTTCATATATGACAGGTCTGCTCTTTTATTTTAACTTTTCCTTTTCACTTGTTTACTCTCTTTCTGTCTTTCTTTTTAAATGCACAGCACTCATGCTCCCTGTAATTCAGAGCTACTGCGTCAGTCAGTAATAGTTTTTTCCTGACCCTCTCTTTCCTGAGCTTTAAGAGTTGTAATTATAGTCTTTAACCAATTCAGATAGCTTCTCCTTGCTAAACGTTTACAGGAATCCTAGGTCTGAAAATGTCCTTTACATACACATGGTCCATCTTCCTAATCCAAGGAAGGATCATCTACACTTGCACTATTCCTAACAGAGGTTTTCCTAGGGAGGTTGTTACAGCATCTCCACAATTAGAAGTCTTTAAGAACAGATTGGACAGTGTATTCCACTGTCTCACTTTCTATTAGCAAGTGCTTTTTAATGTCTAACTTGAAACTGTCTTTCAGTCGTTTAAGCTGCCTCTCCTTTCCACCACTTATATAGTAACCATTATTCTATTCCTTCTTGCAGCAGCATTTTATATATTCAAAACAGTTATCATACACTCTCTTGAGTTTTTTAATACCTTAATCTAATCAACCACAATTCATTGAATCTTACTTTGCTACTCCTATACCTTGAATAATTCTCAATGCTGACTTCCTCCAGTTAGTCCATGCTATCCTTGAAGCATGCAACTTAGCACTCAGCTAAACTGTTATCCAAACAATTTTTCCTCTTCTTCATTCAGATACTGTATTTTTATATCCATATAGTCCATTTGCACTTGCCCTTGCTGAGTTGCTTCCTATTTTTATTCATCCTCCAATTCATCAAAATCATTCTGAATTCTAACCCTATTTTTCAATGCACCTGCAGCCAATCCAGTGATGGCTACAATGGCTTTTACCTGGTAAGGATCTCAATACAAAATATTGAATCACGGAATAATTTAGGTGGGAGGGGACCTACATAGGTCATCCAGTCCGAGCCCCTGCTCAGAGCAGGTCTAATCAGATCAGGGCCACGTCCAGTTCAGTCCTGAACACCTTCCCTTATACTGGGTCCCCAACCTCTCTGGGCAACCTATTCCAGTGCTCAATCATCCTCATCACAAAGTTTTTCGGGTTTTTTTTCCCCTAATATCTAATGGCAGTTTCCTATGTTCCAACTTAGGTCTGTTGCTTCTCATCCTATAGCCATGCATCTCCAATGAAGAGCCTGGCTCCATCTTCTCTGTATTCTCCAGTCAGACAGTGGCAGACAGCAATAAGGTCTTCCCTGAGCCTTCTTTTCTTAAGGCTGAACGGGCTCAGTTCTCTCAACCTCTTCTCGTATGTCACATTCTCCCAACCCTTGCCTATCTTTGCAGCCCTCCGCTGGACTTGCTCCAATATGTCAGTACCTTTCCTGTACTGGGGAGCCCTCCCCTTGTCCACATCACCAGTCATAGAACACAATACGGTTGGTGAGGTGTGATTTGCCCTCAGTAAACCCATGTTGGCTGCTCCCAATCACCTTCTTGTCCCTCATGTGTTTAGAAACGGCTTGTAGGATGATCTGCTCCATAATCTTCCCAAGAACTGAGGTGAGGTTGACCAGCCTATCGTTCTCCGGATCTTTCTTCTTGTCCTTCTTGCCTCCCCCAATTGCCACAACCTTTCAAAGATGATGGGTAGCAGCCTTGCAATGACATCAGCCAGCTCCTTAACCCCCTCGGATGCATCCCATCTGGTCCCACAGACTTCTGTATATTAAAATGGTACTTCCTCACTTCCACAAACTCTGCTAGTAGGCTCATGGACCTGGGAGGCCTGAGGACAAGCTTTATCAGTGAGAAAAAAACAGCACTGAGTACTTCAGCCTTTTCCGTGTCATAAGTCACTAGTTCCGTTGGTCCACTACACAATGGGCCCACGTTCTCCTTAGTCTTTCTTTTGCTACTAATGTACTTATAGAAAACTTTCTTGCTGCCCTTCATCTCCCTTGCTAGTTTCAACTTCAACTGAGCTTGGCTTTCCTGACTCCATTCCTACTTGCACAGGTGACACCTTTGTATTCCTCCCAAACTCATACAAAGCACAGTAATACTAAGTAAATGAGACTAGCTGTCATATATTGGAAAACAAAAAAAAAAAAATGGCCACTACGTTTTAAAAGCACCTTATAATTTTCCCTGAGCTTCTCCTTTTAGGCTCAGCCTGAATTGCCACATGCCCATCTCTGCAAGTTTGGGGGACAGCCAGCAAAACTGCCATCGAGGACTGCTGCGCATGAGCACAAATGCACCAGAATTCTGAAGCACATTTAGGTATGAGAAAACAATATAAATAGATATTCCTATGAACATATTGTAACAAGCTGGTTTAAGGTTTCTATCTGCACTATTACCAAAGTAAGTGCTGCCCTTGAATTCTTGTTGGTTTCATCTGCATATGTAATACCCACAAACTCAATTCAGTTATCCAGAGCATCAGCAGAAAGAGCACACAATTAGATCCTGATAGTCTTTCCTGTGATAGGCACCCAAAATTCCTGCAAAGTTCTCATCACCTTGGGCCTCAACCACTCAATTCTACCTTTTTGGGGCCTTTGCAACTGGAATCCTTCCCCTCTCCAGAGGAGAAAAGAAATGTTTAATAAAGCTGCTACCAACCTTCTCTAGATCAGGTTCCCTTAAAGCTAGTGCAAGTTCATTGTTATCCATCACAGACGCTGCTGCAACATCTAAAGGAGTTGATCCTCGCATAGAAGGAGAGGCTGTCAAAATAACATTTAGTTTCAGTAGTAAATCTATAGAAAATAGCAATTTCATCGCAAATAGAATAATAAAACCATCAATAAAATACTACATTTTATCATTAGATGGTTATTTAATTCATAATAAGTGTGTCATTTATACCATTTTATAATAAATCATAGTATGCTCACATGCAATTTGACGCTAAGATGAAATCAAAACATACTCTGTCCAGGCTGCAAAAAAAACCCCTTTATTTAGTCTTCTTATTTTTACCATACACTTTGTTTTAACATTTCATTTCTTATAGTTCTCCAAACTAATACAATTCTATTTTGAGGAAATGGTAGAGGAGATTTTAGATCTAAAACACTGACATTTTATCGAAAGTACTGAAATAGAAAATATCTTTTAAGTTTAAAATAAGAGATTATATTTGTTCTCTATGTCTTTAAAAAACGGGAGTGAATACGTTACATGTACCTCTTCTATAACGCTTCAGCCCAGCAAAGAAAAACTAACGCTTTGAGAAAATTTCAGGGTTCATTTCAGAGCCTCTGTACACGCATACTGAAGTGAATGAGCTCTACATTTCCGCCAGAAGTGTAGTTAGATACTGAACAGTCCACACAAGACTAGAGCAGTGGAGCAAGCATAAGCAGTGAGAAATGAGCTATCAGGTCTGGCTGCCAACATTTATCCATGAACCTCTCTATCACAATCAGGATCTTACTCTGTTCCATAAATGGTGAAAGTAAACACTGATTCTTCCCTAATGTCCAAGCATTACCTGGCTTTCCTGCCAAAAAGCATATCCTTAATTAAATCAGCTTACTGAATGCTGTTGTTAGGGTTTTCTTTACAATTGGCAATACAGTAAAGGAAGACGCTTTTGCACAAGGTGATAGAGAAAATTCAAGATAAATATGGTACAAATGGATGAATGCAGGAAAACACACTTTTTTCGGTATAGAAATTAACAAACATTTTTAAAACTTTGTTTTTGTTTAGAATCTCAAAATTCACACACAAATCAGTTATATGTTTTCACTTACCAAGGCCAACACTGCTGTTTTCCAATAAATAGCTAAGATGATCAAACATAGCTTTTTGATTCTGCCTGCTAATGCGGCAAAAATAACAAAGGAAACGACAGCAATTTGCCACCATCTTTGGAAAAGTAATTTCCTAAAGGAAATAAAAACAGACTAAAACTAAAGCTCCAAAACAGGCATAAAACCTGCAAAAGACCATGCAACAGCCAGTTAATGTACTAGTATTTCTGTATTGTATTCCTTGTACCCCTGTGAAGTTATCTGTCTAGGTGGACATCCTTGAAATCAACAGGGTTTTCTCAGCAAGTAAATAACTCCCTAAGCCCTACAGAACAACTTCTAAGCTTGAAAAGAAAGAGCTGAGTTAACCCCTAAATTCTAGATTCAAACATGAAAGAATGGCAATATTTAGATTAACAGAGTGATACGGCATCCATTTTTAATTAGCTTCTAAAAAGATCCTATAAATCCATGTAAAATTCAATGACCACATGAAGTGCT